CACGGCCTTTCTTCCAGATAAATGTTCTGTGGGTTTTTTTTTTTTTAAGTTTATTTATTTAAATGATTATTTAGAGAGAGGGAGAGAGAGAGAAAATCCCAAGCTGGGTTTGAACTCAAGATCATGACCTGAGCCAAAATCAAGAGTTGGACGCTTAACCCACTGAACCACCCAGGCGCCCCCCCCCCCCCCAAAACACAACACTTAGTGTAGTTGACACAGTGTTACGTTAGTTTCAGGTGTACAACATAGTGACTCAACGAGTCTATAGTTGTGCTATGCTCACCACAAATGTAGCACCATACAGTACTATTGTAATACCAAGAACTCTATTCCTTATGTTGTCTCTTCTCCCCAGACATACTCATTTCATACCTAGGAGCCTGTATCTCCTGCCTCCCTTCACTCACTTTGCTCAATCCTCTGTCCACCTCCACTCTTGGCAGCCTTCAGTTCGTTGTATTTGTGAGTCTGTTTCTGCTTTTTCGTTCATTTGTTTTGTGTTTTAGATTCCACACAGACATGAAATCACATGGCATGTGTTTAAACAAACTGATTTTAAATTGAGAGTAATGGCTAGCCTGCGAGGAGGCTCCCTGACCTGCCTTCCCTAACCCTGGAAAGGACAGTTTTACATACAGTATGACCCTGGGCCCCTGACTGTGGCTAGTTGGATCTTAGACCTCTGATACGGGCTGTTGATCAATTAAACTTTCTCAAAATCTTAAAATAAACACAGGGATTCTAGTTAGTCAGCAGTGGGTACTCAGACCTCATGGACCTTGTGTCAGCAGGGGAGAGAGACTGCAGAGAAAGCAGGAGAACAGAACAGAGGGAAGCAGAGGAGAGGCTCTGTGGTCTCTGTGAGATGGAGAGTAAATCCAGAAGCTACCCGGGATTTTTCAGCTATCCCTCTGCCTCCAGTAAAGAACCATGTTTGTTTATGTGAGCTCTGTACTAATGTGCCCATTTCTACAATGGGATCAAGAGTGGAAACAGCGAAATTTTTAGCACTAAATTCCTCCTAGAAAAGATGAAAGGGCTCAAATAGACCTCAGCTTCCACCCTAAGAACTAGAAGAAGGAAAGTAAACCCAAAGTAAGTAGGAAAAAGGAAGTACTAAAGAGTCGTAATTAGTGGAATAGAAAACAGAAAACCAATGAAACCAAAAGCCAGTTCTTTGAGAACATCAGCAGAGTTAATATCCTCTAACCAGACTGGTCAGGAAAAGAAAGATGCAAGTTACCAATATCAGGAATAAGAGGCGAATGTAACATCACTACAGATTGTACAGATCTACTCGAGATGTTCATGTTTTAGGTTCTTGTGTTGAAGTGTTTCCTTAAAAATTGCTGTTTTTGTGGGGCACCTGGCTGGCTTGGTTGGTTGTGTCCACCTCTTGACTTCAGCTCAGGTCATGATCTCAGTTTGTGAGTTTAAGCCCTGAACTGGGTTCTGCCCTGATGGTGTGTATCTTGCTTGGGATTCTCTTTATCTCCCCCTCTCTCTGTCCCTCTCCAACTCACGCTGTTTGTCTCTCAAAATAAATAAACATAAAAAAAATTGTGTGCAAAAAAAAGAGCTCTACATATTTTGCCTACAATTTTGCCTAGTTTCTGAAATGCTTGCCAAATGACAAGTGCAGATGATACTACTGCTACCAACATATTGGTTCCTTGGGAATTATCTGCAGTATGTAACTTTTATGCATGTGACCAATAATTTTTTTTCCTTTATTTATTTTGAGAATGAGAGTAGAGGGGGGGAGGAGCAGAGACAGAGGGAGAGAGAGAATTCCAAGCAGGCTCTGCACTGTCAGGGTAGGGCCTGATGTGAGGCTCGAACTCATGAACCATGAGATCATGACCTGAGCTGAAATCGAGTCAGATGCTCTACCAACTGAGCCACCCAGGTGCCCCAGGTTTTTATGATTTGTAAGATACGAGGCAACCTACTAGGTCTGGGGTTGGCAAATCCTGGCTGGTTTTGGTAAGTAAAATTTTCTCAGAACAGAGTCACTCATACATTTAAGTATTGAGTAGTTACTTTTTTGTGTTACAGCAGTGGTAAGTGGTTGTGACAGAGACCTCTCTTTAAGTGAATGTTTGTCAACACCTGTATAAAGTCCTTAATGGGGCACCTGGGTGGCACAATTAAGCATCTGACTTGGCTCAGGTCATGATCTCATGGTTTGTGAGTTCGAGACCCTCGTGGGGCTCTGTGCTGATCGCTCAGAGGCTGGAGCCTGCAGCTTGCTTTGGATTCTGTGTCTCCCTCTCTCTGTCCCTCCCCGACAAGTGCTCTGTCTCTGTCAAACATAACTGTAAAAAAAAAAAAGTCCTTCTTTGTTTAGGGCAGTGGATCACATGACTGGACATCAAGGGAAAGCACCCTGGAAATTAAGCTTAGTTTTATCTAATTTAAAGCCTGCCAAGATTTTTTTTTTCCTGCAAAGCCATAAATGCACACTTATTTTTTTCATTTAGGGGTGCTCGTTCAGGGGTATTGGTCAGCAGATCACATGTAAAAGAGCTTTCGAGGTAGAGACTACAGCACCTAGAGAGGAAACGGCTCATTCTCCAGTCGTAGGTGAGTGATGACAACATTAACCAGCATGACAAAAAAATCTTGTCAAAATTACTTGTGGACTAAAACAAAGGACACATTTCCCACTAGAACAGAAATAAATTTTAATTCATTGAAAAGTGCAGCAGTGAACAGGGTCTTTGGAAGGGCACTTTCTAAGTCAGGTGACTTGAGATGACACAAAGCCACGGCAGAATAACTTCTGGGAACAGAAGATGCAAACGCAGGAATTCAACACTCAGTGTGGGACCCAAGTGGTGGTGTAAGTAGAAAACCCAAATATTCCCACCTAGGTCACTGGTGGATCAGAAGTACCCTTTGCTTCCTCTTAATAAGGACCCTGGAGAAATCCTTCTTTAGTGCTTTAAAGCACTAATATTTAATTTAGATGCTAAAAATAAATTTAAGAATGTTTCTCACAGATGAGGCTATGACTTCCACGGCTACTGTTACGATTTTGTACAAAAACCTTAGTATCGTGAATTAAAAACGTACTTTGTAACAGTACCACTGGTCAAATTCAGAGATACTCAATAAGGGGTTCCCCACTTTGTATCTGAGGGAGACCTCTGTAATAGGAAATTTTGTAAGGCAGAATATGCATTCCTATGGCCTTGGATCCCTCCTAAGGGTTAGTTTTCTACTCTGCAGGGTACCAACCAGTCCAGACCTGGCCTTCTTTAAAAGAGAAAATAATCAAAATTCAAATTCATACAATTAAGAGAGAAACAAGCCAAACCTCTTGCAGTGGGTTCCTTGTACATATACATTCTGAAAAGTTCAGTGCATTTTGTTGTCTGCTAGGCTATATAAACTGAGGCCTCTTCACAAAAGATGATTTTAGCATAGATCCAGAATGAAGCCAGTCTAAGAGAAAGTGAAATTATAGGCCACTCCAAGGTTAGTGGGAAGTGTACCACATATAGGAGAGGTACACAGGGAGGGCACCCGATCCCCCCACCCAAACAGAAATCGCTGAATGTAAGAACAGTGTGGCAGGGACACTATGGGCAGCTGACTTGTGTTGCTCTTACAACTTTACCTGCTCTCAGGAACCAGCAACCTAAAATTGAATAACAGGACATCACAATAGAAGACCTGGTAAGTATTGGTGTCTTTTTATTCGGGAATAACTATGGTCAACTTTCATTAAGGTAGAAGTTGACTGATTAATGTTAAGAATCAAAGTGTAGAATAAAGCTAATACCCATATTTAACAGTGTAGTTTGCTTTTAGTTACAAAATATTTAGAATTTCTTTCCCTAAAACATTCACAGCAGAGGTGTTCTTTCACTTGCCTCTTTCACCTCTAAATACCACCACAGTTACTGGGATTGCATGAGGTAAAGGAATAAACCCAATGGCTATTAACCCAACATGGCTCTCTAGAGTTGATAGAGAAGTTGTTTACAGCCATGTCTTACAAAGTGCTTAAAGCTCAACCTAAGACCTTACATAAAGCTAAAATCACTAATGCCTGAGTTGAACAGGTTATAAACCACAGCTCTTCCTCCTCCCCCTGCTGTCCCACCACAGATAACTTTCTTGTGAAGAAAACAGTAGAAACGGGATTGGTCTTTGAGCCCAGAAACATACAAATGTAGGTGTTCTATACAGGAAACCTCAACAAGGTCTGGCTTTGCCAGGGGGAACAGTGAATGCGGCTCAAATTATGCAAGACTCCAAACCCTCCAGAAGAACTTCTCTAAAAGGGAACAAGGTAGGGTAAAGCAGTTGGAACTTTGTAAAAACTGTAACAAATGAACACAATGTCCACAAAATGCAGAGAGTCAAAATTGAAACCCAGGCTCCCTGCTAGACAGGCACTTACTAAATCCCAACAATAGCCCTTCAACCTGTCCACCCAAGAGCCCCGTCTATAGAAGGCCCTCAGAAAATGCAACCTTCACCAACCCTTGGAAGTTCTTTTCCTCTACTGAGAAATATTAGGATAGGATACCTAAGCCATTTTGTTTTTGGGATCTCAGAGGAGTAATTATCAGGAGAAGAAACATTCCCTTGATACCTCTGTTGACTGGTACTCCATGTGGTTAGCAGCCACCAGGAAGTCCACGGCTTTCACTTTTAGAACTACCTCGAATTATTAGCCTGTACCAAAAACTGTTCTATTTAAGTGTAGCATCAGCCCAGAATGCATAAAAAACAACAACAACAACAAAAAAACCAAAACAACACGAACCGTGCTTGGCTGACAGGTTTTGAACTTGTGACCTTATCACATTGTGATGGGTATTATACACACTGTATTTCTACTAATCTGAAAATGGCGGCACTTGTTCTTGCTCTGATGATTCAGCTCTGAGGGTTATTCTTCAAGCCATGTGATGTTGGTATTTTTGATAGTGAAGTGGTTAAGCTGTAAACCACCCCTCTGCCCCCAAGCAAGTAATTCAGACTATGGCCACATGGGGAATAATCAAGAACTGTGACCCCAGGACAGAAAGGGTGTGGGTGAGGACAAAGACCTCAGGAGCATTCGTTATTAGGTGAATGAAGGGACAGCCATTCCTGACGTGTGGGCGGAGTTCACAGTTTAACACATTGCACAAGGAAGTCAGCTGATTGGGTTGCTTTTTCAAACAGGACTTAGAGCCAGTCCAGAAACTCTTCAAGGCGTGGTCTTGAGGACTAGCTACAGAAACCTACTACAATCACTTCATCAGACAGAGGTGTGCTGGGACCCAACTGCAGAGGTCGCTACAGAGGATGTTTTGAAAACCTTCGAGTCCTGACACTGCCATGATTGTTGAACATGAGACGAGGGTCAAACCTGTATCTGAGGAGGAAAAAAAGAAAAAGGATGTTACATCAACTCCAGTTAGCTGCCATGTTCCTCATTCAGAATGTTTGGTGGAAAGGATGGCAGGAAGGAAGATAAAAGGAACAATTAAGTCCCCAGAAAGGAATCTCGTGGCAAATTCTGTAGTACAAAACAGAAGAACTTACTAATTAAGAGCATTCCCATCACAAGCAAGCAAGCACAAAATGATGTAAAATAATCTTGAGAGGCATTAGGAGGAGACAAGATTTGAGCTGGTTTTTGAGGGGGGGGGAGGACTCCCTAAGGTGTAAAGTAACTGATGGCAGAGGCTAGCCCCTGTCGGAGCCTGACCAGCAGCTTCAGAGCCCTTCCTTCTCTCACAGTTCACACAGACCAGCAGGCAAGAGCACAGGTGTGCACCTCAGACAGACGTTTCCGTCCGGCTCATTATGAACTCAGGTAAGTCGTTAACCTCTCTAGCTACCAATAAAATCGTAAGGGAATTCAATTCACGTAATATGTCTGGCACATAATATCAGTCGGCCCAGTGTCACGTCACCAGTCAGCATTTACTTTCCCCTGGGTGGTAAAACTAAAGAGGGTAGTTTGCAAAGACACTTTACACAGGCAGGCTAGAAATAATGTTGTATTTTCCTTTTACCTGCAATCTTTAGGGATAAACTCATTCTTACTTAGCATTATTTTAGAACAAGGGCAGGCCATACAGTCTCTGTCCTAACTATGTCTCAACTCTGTTGCTGTATGTAAATGAATGTGGCTATTTGCAAAGGGTGGTGGCTGGATTGGGCCTGAGGACCTAGTCTGCTGACCTCCATTTTCAGAGAGTGTATAAGCCTAAATGTTTGGTGGGAAGGAATATGCTATTGATAAGGAATTTAAAAAGTTTAAATAGCTGGGGCTGACATTAGTAAAGCCAGCATCTAGAGTCTTGGTTATAAGCTTCTTAGAATGTGAAGAAGACACTTAAATTATAGTTACAAAACAAAGCCTGCCTGGGAGTCAGATCTTGCTCATCAGTCCTAACAGGGTGACCCTTGGGCACATTTACCTCTGGGCTCTAAAGACTGTATGGAAATTCTATGGTTAAGTCCTAACACTTAAGGGCTGATGCTCAGAAGACCGAAGGGATCTGCCATATTGGCCAACCGGCTGCCAGCACAGCAGGTCCACGGTCAGGGACTGTTTGGCCAAACACCGTACTTCAAGAGGTGTTAAGTCCTGACTCTCCATTCAAGATTTAAATAGAGGATGGGACACCTGGGTGGTTCAGTCGGTTAAGCATCTGAGTTCGGCTCGGGTCATGATCTCATGGTTCGTGGGTTGGAGCCCCATGTGGGGCTCTGTGCTGACAGCTCAGAGCCAGGAGCCTGCTTCAGATCCTGTGTCTCCCTCTCTCTTTGCCCACCTCCCACTTGTGCTCGCTCTCAAAAATAAACATTAAAAGATTAAATCCATCATCTAAGTTCATAAGTCATCCAGAGACTGCTATAAACATCTGAGGTTATTTTTTACCAAGATTTTACTTTTTTTTTTTCCAGTAATCTCTATACCCAACATGGGGCTTGAACTCACGACCCCAAGATGAAGAGTTACATGCTCTACCTCCTAAGCCAGCCAGGTGCCCCTAGACATCTAATTTGATTTGATAAAACATTCTGGGCACAGTTGTTGGAAACTGCAAAATCAGCATGTGTCAACTAAAAGTCTTGTGCCTTTTACTTTAGAGACTGAACTTCCTTCCTGCTTCAAGGAACTGGTGTAAGTGAGGATGCATTTCACTATCTTGCAGAAGAGCTCCTGACCGACATGGATTTAGAATTTAGAAGTATTATACCGTATTTAGAAGCAAAAGTATTACATTTCTTTGATCAAAAGTCTATTATCCAGTGTCTCTACTCATTCACATATATTACTCTCTAATGTGTACTGAAAATATTTCACAGAAGGCTGGCTAAATAATTAAGTTACTACTCAAATTAGTCCTTTCCATCAGCTTAGGACATCAATCTCCCATTTCTCCTACAATCAATGTAAGAACTAAAATAATCCTTTCCTGGTGAAAATTCAACTTTAAATTTCATAATCTTAAACCCAAAATGACAGGTTTCTTGCTACATGCAGCTGAAATGCATGGTGTGCTGAGACCCCACGTCACTGGGGAAGGGTAACTGTTCCAGAGGAATGAGTGGGAGGGACAGAGCCCGCTTAGTAGGTGATAACCTTTTCTGCCTTCATATACTACAGTGGGCTTACATATTTAAACATTTGAAGTCTGTACCTTCTAATTTATTTTGTGTGTTCAGCCTACTAAGTTTACTGGCAAGCATTCAAGTTCCTCTAATCAGGGTTTTTGAGAAATGAAATGAAGGCATAACCTCTTGGAGGCGCTAGGGAGACAGGTAGCAGGTGGTCAGCTCACTTTAAAGAAACTCCATCTGTCACCAGTGCAATCAAGTGGGTACCATGAAAAGAGTCACAGGAGGAAGGGGAGGAAGAAGAGCCCCATGTGGCAGGGAGTGGGGCTGGGCCTCCAGCTAAAGCAGCTACTGGCACCACAGAGCAGAAGTTTCAAAGGGCTCATTTCCCCAGCACAACAGGCAAACGCACTAACACACAGTACTCCTACTACAAAGCAGAAGAACAAGAAACACAGCTTAGCTCAAAGCCAAAAGGACCCCTCAGGCTTCCTCTGCCTTCAAGCACACACGACTGCCACCCACCGACAGCTTGACAAAGCCATCGAAGAAAATGGGAACTTACCCCGGGTCAAAAACACCTGGAGTGCGACAGGTTGGTCCAGAACAGGACTGTAACATCATTAGCCGGTAGTTCATTTTCCCCAAAAGCTCTGGGTCTATACTTTTAGCAATGTTCGTGATTTGGTCTGGGTCTGCAGTCAGGTTGTAGACTTCCACAAACACCTACAAGAATGAAGATGGAGGAAAGAGAAGAGCAAGCATTATATTTGAAATATTCCTCATGTGAGTTTTTTAAAAAATGTTTACTTTTCAGAGAGAGAGCGAGCGAGCGTGAGCGGGGGAGGGGCAGAGAGAGAGGAACATACAGAATCCGAAGCAGGCTCCAGGCTCTGAGCTGTGAGCACAGAGCCCGATGAGGGGGCCTGAACTCACTGAAAAGTGAGCTCTCAAACAGTGAGATCATGACCTGAGCTGAACTTGGACCCTTAACTGACCGACCCACCCAGGTGCCCCTCGTGTGAATTATTTCTAAGTGGGAAGGGAAGAGCAGCGCCCAGGAGAACATTTTCTGGTGGCAAGATCCTAAAAGAGCCCATGGGTATACATGAGACTATGTTAAAATGCTTCAGGTCTGTGGCCCATGCTGGAGAGGAGCCTCTGGCACACCCTGGGGCTTCAAGCAGAGGCAGGAGGGGTCGTATTACATATGACCTTATGTAATAAAAGCAGAACAGAAGGGAGGACCCTCAAAGAGCGAGTCTCAGAAACTAGACTTAACAGTAATATTGTTATAGAAGTGAGAGTTGACATTTGAAGGTTTCTGCCTTAGAACTGTTAAGATTCAAATGAGAACAGATCTGAAAGTACAGTCGCTCGTGCTGTACAGATGCTAAAGTTTCCTGTTTTAAAAGCAGTGCTGGATGGCTTCCCAAGTGGGGAAGGATCTAACCCTATTGTTTCTAACATAAGCTCTATCTGATATCACCATCCCCCCCACTCTGTACTGTGTTCTCCTAAGTGGAGTTAAGTGATAGGCTAGGAAGATGACAGGTAAACATCATGGAGGAAGGAGAAACAAGAATGGGCTTTGGACAATAGGCAACAGAGCTTCTTTCAAAGTGCTCGGGAGCTACAAATGGTGAGCGAGTCCATTTCTGAGAAACACAATGAGCCTCGGCTCCCCGTGGCAAGATGTGGGTTGCCAGATGAGGCAGGTGAGCACAGGCAGATAGAGTGTGAAAGCACAAGGGACTGCAGTGCAGGAGATCCTCAGACGACCCACACTGATCTGTGCTGGCTAAAAACCACCTTGCCTTTTTTTTTTTTTTTTTTTAATATTTTTATTTTGAAAGAGAGAGTGCAAGCAGGGGAGGGGCAGAGTGAGAGGGAGACACAGAATCTGAGGCAGGCCCCGGCTCTCAGCACAGAGCCTGAGGCGGGCGGGGCTCAAATCCACAAACTTCGAGATCGTGACCTGACCAAAGTCACTTAACTGACTGAGCTACCCAAGTGCCCCTAAAAGCCACCTTCTTATGAGGATGGAAACTCCTGGTCCTGCCCCCCACTGCTCATCTATTTAAATGAGCAGCTCTGGACTGTGCTGTTGTGGGGACAGAAGTTTCTGAACAAGCTGGCTGCCAGTAAGCCTTCTAGGAAATGTCCCAAACTCCTTACAGCTCCACAGAAGTCAAGGTGTCTTACTCTGACCCCAAACTATCAGAGAAGCAAACAGACCAGGCATGCAACAATCTGAAAAAGTGGACTGTGCATTTAAAGGGTGTTTGGGTGGTGGTAGGCGTGGAGAGAATCCCATCCGGAAAGATCACAGTTAGAGAGGCGCAGTATGGCCTCGTGGATTCCATGTTCTTCACTGAAGGAAGCCTGAATGGAAGTACAGATAAGAAACCTATCTTCCCCAGGGAACATCCTTGGACTTGCTCTTCTGCTACCAAGTCCAGCCAACAAAGCACTGGCACGAGACACAAGGGGGTGGGGGAAGTGGGGACCTTCTTACCTCCTGGTCGTCAAACTCACAATACTGTAAATTCCACTGTGTTGACATGGTCCTCACACAGGCATAGGTGTTATTGTAAGCATCTTCACAGACACAGTCTGGGAAGCATTGCTGTAGGGAAATTTAAAGAGTTAAATGAAAACAGTTCTTCTAATACGTAATACCGGCCTACAGGGGCAAGCAAGTTGGCTCAAGCCAGACCTACAACTGGACCGAAATCAGGCAACCTTCCATGGAGAAGCAAATCAATAGATATGGGGCTTTGTTTCTTTTGGCCAACCTAAGAACATGTGTTGGTGGTAGTTCTGTTCGTACTCTTGCCATCCCTGTCTGCTAATCTCCTGCCGAGAATTCGTGGTAGTGAGCGACTGTAAAATGGGTGGGACAGATGGTAAGGAGACAGAATCAATCTCCTGTGAGTCGTGTCTATGGTATATTAAAGAGCGCTCGCCCTAAACACTTGGATAAAAAGGCTAAACGAGCTTTGTGGAACCAGTTGCAGGTAAGTTATTTTTTCATGTTTTCCTTACCAACTTCTGGTCGGTTCTTCACTACATCCTTACACGTTGGTATTAGGCTTCTATCTAGAGTCGACTCTCCTATTTCCCACTCTCCAAAGTGAAGCCAACGTGCTCTTTTCACCTCCGTCACCAGTCTGACTGCCACCAATGAAAGACACTTATGATGGCAGTTACACAGAACTGTGGCAACCCCACTTCTCTACTGAGTGCCACTGATAGATAGCTTCCCTAATAAAAAATGGTACTGCTATTGGGAAGAGGTATAGATAAGAATATGGGCAGATAGATACATGCACTTGTTATAAAAACTGCAAGAATTCAAGGAGCACATTCTGCCAATAGATCAGAAGCATCATTTTCAGGACTACTGAATTTACTCTTCATCTACTAATCTCCACAGTCGAGGGAAAGAGGAGCAAGACTCAGATTTGGGGTTTTAGTACCTGACATGTCTGAACCAATGCCTTGCTGTGCTATTGGTAAGAAAACCGTCTAAGCCAACTCACAGATACTCCGGGACTCAGGGAAGGACATGTTGGGTCGGTGACATTACGGCCTTCTCCTTGATACTCCACCAAGACATCAGACCGCCACGTCAGATTACTGGCACCTCTCTGGAAGGAAGAACAAAAATGGTTTCTATGAGGCATACAGAATGTGATAAGGATCACAAAGTTTTATTCTATTACTTCAGGGGACACGGGAGTCAAAGCTGGTTGGACTGTGCATTCGGCACCTAAAGAGAATGACAAAAACTAATGCAGATGAAGGCTTCTGAGTATCATGTTTGGTATTTACAGAGCCCTTACAAGTGATGGTCAAATACTTTGAGCATTTAGTAGTTACTTCCCAAGACTACTTCTGAGAAGCAGGTCAGGAATGGAAACTAAACGATATCTAAGAATTCTTAACTCATCTGAAGAAATTTACAGGCTAATACACACAAGGACAAAAATTAAACACAGCTTATGCGTTAAGGACTATAACAGGTTCAAAATTCTTCTTGGTTAGAATGTTGATACCATACGTAAATGAACTCATTTAGTCTTCACTGCACATCCGTGGAATGAAAGGAAAGAAGCACCAGCATTTGAAATAGGAGCGCTGAAGACAGGCTCACACATGGTGAAAGGAGGAAGGTGACAGAAGTAAAAAGTTCTGGATCAAAAGGACAACAGGAGTACTGGAAGGAAGAACATGAGGTAGTAAGGTTTCCCCAAATCCAGCTTTCAGACAAGGGTGGCAACCACAGAAAACGGCATGGACAGGAGGCTGCCCACTTGTTCTGTAAACAGCAGCAGGTGGTGGGAAGCAGCGGGAGGCTCTTAAGCAGGGAAGTAACACAATCAAGGCTGTCCTTTAGAAAAGTCATCCCAGTAGCAGAGTCTAGAGATGGGGTGGAGAGATGGAGCTAGGGAGATCAGGTTAGAATGTGCTCTTAAGATGGTCTTCAGCCTTACTAATCAAAGTCTGCTTTGCGGTGTTAAAGAGGAGACGGCAGGCCCAGAATGGAGTCACTTGTGCTAAACCCTACATCAACAAACCTAGACTTAATACTTACCCTAACCCAGTTGAGTGTCAACCCTCCAGGAATGTAACCTTTATTTAACCAGTCAACTTGAAATTACTTGGTTAGTACTAGGGAGGTAATCTGCCCGATGGGTCTTTCTGTTCTCCTCAGGAGGGTGACCACGCATGAAACGATGCATTCTTTGTTAATAATTTCCTTTAGCTGCCTTTCTGCCTTAAAAAAACCCTTTCCTTTTCTACACCTCTCTATTGTAGAGAAGTTGCTGCCTGATTCATGAATCACTGAATAAATTTTTAACAGACTGGGTAGTAGGTGCCAGGAGCTGAAGCAAACTTCTGACAGCATTTAGGGACCATGAAAGCCACAGGTGTGATAATCGCAAATCCATTTTTGAGTTCATGATCTTTTCGCCATTTCTGAGGGCCGAGGGTCTGACTTAAGCTCCTGGTCTAACTGGCTTTCTAGTCCAGGGCTCAGCTGGTCACCTTGAGACAGCAGAATGTTCCATTCAGAACCCAACTCCCCAGCCCTTGGTTCAATCTGCAATTCCCCAGTTACTTGCAATCTCTTTCCAGTCCATAATCCCCATTTACTGGAGTTTACTGGTTGAGTCCACGCTGGGAATCGCTGGTGGTACATATGGCCTTCTCTTGGCCAGTCTGCAGTAAACATTTCGTGGTTCCTGCTGTTATGTTAAGGTGTGTGTTTGTCGTCTTTTGTGTAGATAAAAACTATTGCTAATGAGGATCTTTGAAGCCAAATAGCCTGAAAAATTGGTGGACACGAGTATTTTAGAGCGCTTGCCACCTCAAGAAGACTCCTGTGATAGGATAAACCGGTCACGGAATGGGTTGGATGGACAGGTGGTCACCCACCAACTTCTATCCAATGAGCTACACTGTAAAACACCAAGCCCCAACCCAGTGGTACATCCCATTTAGGTATTTAGACTGGCTCAGAGAAATCCAAAGCCTTAGCTAATGGGCATCTTAAACTCTAAGTCGAGTGTACCACCTTCTGGCACATGTGCTTATTTTATATCTAACAACTATGGTACCTGAGGTAATATCTACAACACTAGCAAAATCTTCCTAAAAACAACCTAGAGCCCAGGCTTAAAATGGCCCTTATGTGGACAAGTAGAGAAGATCACTCATTCAAGAAACATACCTGACTCTGCCACACCTGGCTGGCAGCCTCAGCCAGCACCAGAACCTTTCCCCAGTGACCTCTTGCCACGCCACACCCAGTGGGCTGCCTTGTCTAGCACTCGAGCTCCCCATGAGCGCCCCTGCCCTGGTGCCTGCAACAGCTACAGCTGGACTTTGTAGACAGCACCCGAAGGCTGCCCTGCCCACAGCCAGCTGCACCAGAGAACTGCCTTGCACACCAGTGAGTTAACATAAACTGCAGTCCAGTCATAACAGGAGGGTGCATGCAGCCCATGCAGGGGACATCCCTAGGGCACATGGCCTGGGTGACCAGGGGAGTTGGCACTACTGGGCCCCATAGGATACCTCTGGCATAAAGCCACTTCTTCAAGACTGGGAGATATAACTGATCTACTTAATAGAACAAATACGTGGAAACAGAGAGGCAAAGTGAGACAAAGGAGTATGTTCCAAAGAAAAGAACAAGACAAAATCTTAGAAAAAGAAATAAAGAAGATGGAGGTAAACAATATACCAGAGAAAGAGCTGGTGGTCATAAAGATGCTCACCAAAATAGGGAGAAGAATGGATGAACAATGAGAACTTCAGAACTTCAGACAGAAAATATAATCAAGAACCAATCAGAGCTCAAGAATACACTAAATGAAATGAAAAAAAAAATATATATATATACATACACATATACATACACACATACACTAGAGAAGATTAGATCAGGAACAAGACTATGATGCCTCCTGCCACTTTTATTCAACATAGGGTTGGAAGTCCTAGCCACATCAGATAAGCAAAAGGAAAGGACACCCAAATTAGAAGAGAAGTAAAACTGTCTCTATTTACAGGCAACAGGATATAGAAAACTCTAAAGACTCCACCAAGAAAGTATTATAATAAATGAATTCAGCCAAGTTGCTGGATACAAAATTAATACACGATAATCTGCTCATTAATAATGAACTGTAAGAAAGAGAAATTAAGAAAGTACCATTTACAATTGCATCAAAAAGAATTAAATACCTAGGAATAAATTTAACCAAGGAGGTGAAAGATCTATACTCTGAAAACTAAGACAATGATGAAAGAAATCGAAGATGACCCAAATAAATGGAAAGACATACTGTGCCCATGGACTCGAAGAATTAATATTGTTAAAATGTCCATACTACCCAGAGGAATCCACAGATTCAATGCAGTCCCTACCAAAATACCAACAGCATTTTACAAGAATAAATAGTCCTAAAATTGTATGGAACCACAAAGACCCCAAATAGCCAAAGCAATGTTGAGAAAGAACAAAGCTAGAGGTATTACGCTCCCTGATTTCCAACTATATTACAAAGCTACAGTAATCAATACAGCATTGTACTGGCACAAAAACAGACACATAGATCAATGGCACAGGACAGTCCAGAAATAAACCCATGCTCGTACAGTCAATATTTGACAAAGGAGGCAAGAATATACAATAAGAAAAAGATGGTCTCTTTAATATATGGTCTGGGAAACCTGGACACTACATGCAAAAGAATAAACTGGAGCACTTTATTACACCATATATAGAAAAATGTACTCAAAATTGATCAAAGACTTAAGTGTTAGACCAGAAGCCATAAAACAGCTACCAAAAAACATAGGGATATTTTTTTTGGATTGGTCTCCTTAGGTAAGGGCAAGAAGGCAAAAATAAAATTAAAAATTGGGCGGGGGGGGGCGCCTGGGTGGCTCAGTCGGTTAAGCCTCTGACTTCGGCTCAGGTCATGATCTCACGGTCCGTGAGTTCGAGCCCCGCGTCGGGCTCTGTGCTGACAGCTCAGAGCCTGGAGCCTGTTTCAGATTCTGTGTCTCCCTCTCTCTCTCTCTCTCTGACCCTCCCTCATTCATGCTCTGTCTCTCTCTGTCTCAAAAATAAATAAACGTTAAAAAAAATTAAAAAAAAAAAATTGGGCAGGGGAGCCTGGGTAGCTTAGTTTTAAATGTCCAACCCTTGGTTTCAGCTTGAGTCATGTCTGACAGTTCGTCAGAGCCCCTCTGTGCTGACAGCATGCAGCCTGCTTGGGATTCTCTTTCCCTCTATCTCTGCTCCTCCCTTGCTTGTGCTCGTGCTCTTTCAAAATAAATAAACTTAAAGAAATGGGCAGAGGGCTTGAACAGACACTTCTGCAAAGACAACAAAAAGATGGCCAACAGATGCATGAAAGATGCTCACATCACTCATCATGGGAAAATTCAAGTGAAAACCACAATGAGATACCACACACTCAAGAAGTAACAAGTATTGGTGAGGATGTGTAGAAAAGGGAACCTTCATGCACTGTCGGTGGAAATGTAAAATGGCACAGCTACTATGGAAAACAGAACTACTCTAGGACCCAGTAATCCCACTTCAGGGTATTTAGGCGAAGAAAATGAAAAGACCAATTTGAAAAGATATATGTACCCCTATGTTCACTGCAGTATTTGCAACAGCCAAGATATGAAAGCAACCTAACTGTTCATGGACAGATGAAGCTTGTATATGTATATACATACATACATATATTTATATAAAATAAACTATGACTCAGCCACAAAAAAAGAATGAAATCTTGCCATTTAAGACAACACGGGAAGACCTAGAGGGTATTATGCCAAGTGAAATAAGTCAGAGAAAGACAAATACCATATAATTTCACTGATACGTAGAATCTAAAACAAAACAAAAACAAAACAAAAAAACCCAAATGAGCAAAACAGAAATGGACCCAAAGATACAGAAAACAGTTTGGTGGTTGTAAGAGGCGAGGAGATTAAAAGGTACCAACTACAGGTTATTAAATAAGACACAGAGTGCTCGCTTTGGCAGCACATGTACAAGACCCAGAAATGCAATGTATGGCATAGGAAATATAATTTAATAACTTTGGTGACAGAA